GCTAATCTGTCCAGACAAACCCCATGGGATCTCCTTAGGTGGACGGATGTCTCTTATTTTCAGTCCATCTGCTACATGACCAGCTGGTTTGATAGGCAAGGCAGCACTGCTATCTCAGCAGCTGCTCTGACTATTTCAACAAAAGGTACTGACAGAAGTGTGGTTTCAAGCTATAAATATATGTGCTTACCTTCTAATTAGAAGGCTACTCTTAACTGTTAAGTTCCATCTGACCCTGCATCTGAAAATCATATTTGGCTTTTGGCAGGAACTCTTGGAACATATTTCTGATAACAGTGAGACATTATGCTGCTTTCCACTTGCCCCAATGAATGTCTGTATACAAACTCAGGTTTGGATAACGTTTTTTGCATGTCTATACGCTGTATATCATACATAATCCAGAAATATTACATGAAAAAATATTCTTAAAATTCTTAAATGAAGCAGGGAACATCTATCCATCAGTCCATCATCCATCTTCTTCCTCACATCCAACCTCCTTCAGCTTATCCAAGGAAACACATAGAGATTCCCAGGCCTGCTGAAAGATATAATCTGGCCCACTGTTATGAGCCCTTTAGTCCCTGTACAACTGCTGTGAAGTGTTGTTCTGAATTACTGTCGCCAATCCTTTTAACAGTGTGGACAGAATTTCTAGGCATAGCCATGCAGTGGGAAGGCCTCCACCTTTGTGGCCTCAGGATTTCATCTCTACATTTTGCGGATGATGTAATTCAGCGGTCCCCAACATTTTTTGCGACACGGACCGGCCTTTAAGGTGTCGCGGATAAATACAACAAAATAAAACTAGTACCGGTACCGAAAAAAAGAAGATTTATTCATAACACACGTGAAAAGACCCAGGAAAACCAAGTTAACGATAAAAACGATAACAAAATAACGCTGAAAACCGATAAAAACCCTGAAAACCATACATTTCACACCTGAGCCTCAACTCTCGTGGCCCGGTATCAAATGACTCACGGACCGGTACCGGTCCGAGGCCCGCTGATGTAATTCAGTTGGTGGCCTCCAGCTCTCACTGGACCAGTTCACTGCCGATTGTGGCTGGAATGAGAATATCACCACCACATCTGAGGCCATGATACTCAGCCAGGAAAGGGTGGAGTACCCAACTGAAGTGAAGAAGAAGTTTAAGAGTCTCGGGGTCTTGTTTATGAGTGAGGAGAAGGGAGCGAGACACTGACAGGATTGGGGCCACGGCTGCAGTGGTTCAGATGCTGTACTGGTCCATCGTGGTGAAGAAAGCTGAGTGTAAGAGTGTGAGTGTATGGAAATCTATGGGGAAATAACCTTTGGACGTCAATGATTTACAGACTTAAAAGCTATAAACAGCGTGTTCTTTCATTAATTATTGGCAAGATACACGCCTAAGAGCATTTTGTGTCCCAGAGTGTCTCAGTCAGAGCCAAAATGCTCAACTTGAAACTTCACAACAGGACTTGACTAATCAAAGGTTGATGTCACTGATGTCCTTCTTTGAATACCTTCCACATGTGCTTAAATACAGTGGGTGCAAATGTGGGCCAGGCTAGCCACAGGGCTTGTAATACACTGACAGAAACCCAGAATTGTCACATTTAAGAAAATCGCACCATTATTTTGATGTTTTTGTAACATTTTCGCTTAATGAAAAAAAAAAGATTCTTTTTGTTGTTTCCTTATTTACAAAGCATCGCAACAGCTGGTGGTTCCACATGTTTTAATTGGCTGATTTTTACACAGCATTCTCTTTGTGTCTCCGCCTAGAATCAAACATGGGATCGTTCACTTGTAAAGTGAATGTGTAATTTATTATGCTAGCAGCCACTGTTTCTGCTTCATAACTTATTTAAGCCATGAATTAATTATTTAGTTATTTCAGTAAATCAACTATTTTGTTTGTCAGTAGTAGAGTAAGAGCACGGCCATGGAAATACTGTCATGTAGCCTACACAGCAGTTTAAGTAGGTGCCCAATGAAGACAGAGATTTTTGAAAAAAACAAACAAACAAAACAATAAACAGATTTAACAGATTTTAGAAGACATTTGTGCATTTGACAGTAAAATCTCACAGATTTAACAATGACAATGTTTTGGGGAAAAAATGAGAAGCCATTTTTACTTTTAAGCATCCTACAAGTTAATGCTGTTTTCTAATGTCAATACTTATAAATTATGCACAGTAAGTTTTTGCTATAAAAGTTCTTTATCAAAAGATGTTGGACTGGGATGAAGCTGAATGCAGGCGAGTGAATTCAAATAGAATTTCAGAGTGAAGCTCGACTATTTTTCTGTGTTCTCGGGAACTATTTCTTTTCTTTTTTTTTCTATACGAATGTACAAGCATGCAGAATGGGATTAGCACAGTTTCAGACCAATTATGGTTTGAGGTGAATATGGTGGATATTACATGCATGCAGGAAATGGCTAAATCTTATCAAACTGCTATATTTGACTCTGTGGAGCCAATTCTCTGATGTAGCTGGTTTTAATTACGAGAAATAAGCTTCATGTTTCAGCACAAATCCAGACAGTGAAATGTAATTAGCTGTGTGTGTGTGTGTGTGTGTGTGTGTGTGTGTGTGTGTGTGTGTGTGTGTGTGTGTGTGTGTGCGTGTGTGTGTGTGACGCACTCATTTTTAATGCCTACATGCTTTTGTGCATAGAAAAGTATGAACGTTATTAAAATTCTTTTGTTTTTAATGCTGATTTTTGTAAATGTATTTTTGCTGTTGTTGACAAATTATATTCCTGTCTTCAAAGTTATAAAACAAAGCTTCATTTCACAGCGGCCTGAGTGTGAAGAGTATGCAAATGTTGTGTGCTGTAAATAAGCCAAAGAAGGTTTATTGAGTTGAAAAACAAAAGCTCTTTGTCAGTGGCTTTTCTTCAAAGGGCACTGAGTGAAGTTTGATATGTGTGTGTGTGTGTGTGTGTGTGTGTGTGTGTGTGTGTGTGTGTGTGTGTGTGTGTGTGCGTGTGTGTGTGTGTGTGTGCTTGAGCATTCATGCTAATATGTGGATAAAAGCAGCAGGGTGAGACGGTTTTGGGGACTGACGTGGAGGCGATGGTGAGGCTGACGAGCTCTTGGCTCTCTACAGTGCCAGGCAGCAACAGCAGTTTGTCTCATGGTGTGTACATCCCCCAACTAAGCTTCGCACAGAGCAGCCAGGCTTGCTGTTACATGCTCACCGGAGGGAGGTGGTGGTAGAGGGGGGCATTGAAGTCTCTGTTGGGAGCTTGCGGTGTGGCAGAGATGGCCATTGATCAGTGGCTGCCAAATCGGGATCCTCTTGATGTGGACAATCTTTGCTTGCAATCAGCTGAATGGAAGCAACAAATTGAGCTTTTTTTCTCCCTCTTTTGAGCATCGATAGTAATTTGTTGCTGTGAAGTTTAGAAATATGAAATGCATTCATTCAGTTGTGGGGATTTAATTGGTTCCTGGTTTCAAATGCATTCTATGCTCGTTTCCTTCAGTTGATGGCATTAAAATTATGACATTTTTTTCCTCTGACTAAATGGATGGCAATTGAGACGGTTTTAAAGAGGAGCCATTACTGGGATTTTATTTTGGTATTCCCTCACTGAATGACTAAAATGGCCAGTTAAGGATTGCAACTGATTTAATTTACAGAGCCATCATGCCATCCTCAATGGGAATCAGCTCTGCGTGAGAGAACATCTCTGATCCTCACTCCCAAACACAGAGAACTACAAGCTCATGGCCCTCACTTTTATCTGTTTATTTGATTTTATTAACTCCAGTCAGAGGCACTTTAATTAGAAAACCTCTGGTTTAAAAGTGGCAAATCATAGATGTGGCACAAATCCAAAAATGGACTCTCCAAAAGAGGGAGAAGCCAAGCAGAGAAGACGATTCTTCAGAACTTGGTTTAACTCTGTCTTGCCAAAACAACATAGCCTCCCCAGAGAAAGTAGGATGACAGCATGCGGTGCTCAAAAACTCGGACATATTAGCTAGTATTAATGGAGACTTCTTAGATATGCACGTTACCCATGGCATATCCTCTAAATACCCCCAAACCATCACAGATGCTGGCTTCTAAAGCCAGATGCCTCAGGCCACTTTAATGAGCTCACAGAAGGTGGGAGTTTTTCTGGATTTGGTTCAGAAATATTTTTATCTTGGAAAGGTTTTTACATGTGTAGATCCACTGATCACTGACGAGGTGTTGCAACAAACATCAGAGGCATCAACCAGACATCCACAGTTTACAAAGTTTAATTTTCTCTATGGTTTTGTGTCACGTGTACAGAGATTTCTTTCAAATCTAGGTCTGTCGTTGATGGTATTTTGAAAAAAGTTCCAAAAATGTATTTTAAAGCATCTTTCTCTACGTGTCTATGCAGTTTATCACACAGTGGTCAGTCCTTTTACCTGTTTGTTTCTGAAAGGCACAGACTGATGAAACCTTTTGGAAATATTTGCATCAAAATGACACAAAAGAGTGAAATTGCTTTCAAATCTTTTCCTTAAAATACTTTATGGATTTTCTTGTACTACCTTCTCAAATAGTGTTTTTGTTAGTTTTTACTATAATAGCAGTCAGGGAAAAATATACTATTGGCAAAGAAAATCTCATCATCTTCTGGCATACTGCCCGGAGTCCTGTATATATTCACAACCCTACCAAAGGACTCTCATTCAGCTTTTAAAAACTGTGCCGTATAGCTGAGTAGGTTATTCAAGACCTGATCAAAAAGGGAAAAAAATCCAGTAATAAAATGCACTACTGTTTTGTACCTCTTTAGTCAGCTGGAGAAATCTTTAAGGCACCGTCGAGGGCTGCTGCAGTCTACTAAATGTTTCTGTCAGACAGCTTAACGTTTTCACTGTTCTCTTTGGGCTTCTGTCTGCTCCATACAGCGTGCACACATGTAGAGTACTGCTGAACACTGCTGAACTGTTTTTATTCCATCAGTCATGTGTGTGCTGACATATGCATACCTGCATGTCTGCTGTCTGCAGATCCAGGTGTGTCCTCTGAAGACCTGCTGCAGACCTGCTGCACTGCTGGCCAGAGATGGGCCTCTGAAAATGGTCACTGCAAGAACATGCCTCTGCTCACTAATGACAACGTCTCTGTTTGCAGGTAAGTAACATGAGAGCATGAATTTTAGTTATACAAGTGTTCTTTGTGGTAGCTGCTGCACACTAACTGTACACATGAACTACTTACTCATCGTGCTGCACATCATGCAAAGTATGAGTTACAGTCAGGATAATTGAACTCTCACTGCTCCCATTTCCTACACTGCCCCATAGAAAATACATTTTAGTGCAAAAATGACCTTTATTACCTTTATAATTTAGACGTTTTGAATATACTGCAGTTGAATGTTGATAACATTGTAACCACTGCACGCTGTCTTATATAAACTATATCAGAATACCATCATAGCTGATTTAACTGATTTATCACAGACAAATAACGAAATGATAAAAATAGTGAGCTACTGTGACCGCTGTCATCAGTTTGAAGTGTTGAGATGAGCTTTTCCACATTCTCTATCTATAAACACATCTGACAAGAAAGAGACATATCTACCTATGAAACCACACGTTCATTTGTCAATCAAATGGACTTTCTTGAGCCCAAAAAAGTGAGTGAACCCGTTAACTTGTCAGGAACGAGTTTCCCATTAAACAACCACAGATACGTGGAAGCTACATCTTTCACTTATACTGTCAGGAAGGGCTGGGGATAGGATTAACCTGTTAACATCAGAGCCACAGGATTGACCATCACTAAATTCATCGTGGATGATGTTTCTTTCACAGCAAAGAACAGAAATAAAAACGTATAAGGAGTTGCTGCTTGGGTTATATGGAGCACACTGTTTTTCTTCTGTGTAACATCAGACGGTCATAAAAGATGTCTGAAAAGTAAAGCCGCTTTTTGCAACTCCTTTTTTACAAAAAGCCATCTGGATGTATAGAAGTCTATGAGGACAGCACCTGTGACCTCAGAAACACTTTTACTAACTTGTTTATGTCTCCATTATTTATATAGTTGACATTAATATGCATAACGAAGAATTTACTTTTAAGTATGGAGTAATATGAAGCACAAGAAAGTGCTAAAATACTCGCTGTGTGTGTGTGTGTGTGTGTGTTCCAGTGTTGCACAGAAGCAGTGCTGTCTCAGCTCTGTGAAGGAAAGACAGTGTGAACTAGGCGTGACCTCAGCCAGAGGTGGAGACACCTGTGACGTGGATGAGCGGGACTCGTGTCTAGATGACTCCTATCAGGTACACACAGTAGAAGATTCACAGGGAAGAGGAAGGCAGTTGAGTCATGACAGATGGTGAACAGATCCACCAAGTTCTCCATGAAGCAAGCACTTTTGCTGACCAGAGGCTCACTCTTGTTTTGCTTTGTTAACAGAAACGGGGAGAAAATTCTGTTTTTTTTTTCTGTCACAATAACATAGTGAAAGTTTCATTTGCCAGTTGAATTCTGAACTTAAACCACATTAGAATTTTGACTTATTTGAAGAAAACAGCTGCGAAAGCTTTTAAATTAAAATCTTTAATGTCGAAGTCTTAATTTGAAATGCAACATTTTCTACTTTCTAAGTAGTTGAGTTTTACCTTGTGGCTAATCCACCTGAGTTAAATGTTCCGGTATCAGGTCTTCTGCTTGCTGGGTTTTAGAGGATGGTTGCAAAAACCAGGTTAATGTGTGGTTTTCTTTACAAAACATGACGCAGCTGAAGTCCTTTGCAGTGCGATAAAGCAGCTTGCTCATCTGTTTCTCTTTCATGCTGATGTTTACTAACCAGCAAAAAGCAGAGGGCCATAAAGTGAGGTGATGATTAGAGATGTGAACGACACCCCGGTGATACTCTCCTAACAGGCTATGCTATTGTTGTGCGGACTGGCAGGTGTGCTGCAGCTGCTGTGTGCTTGGCTTACGTGTTCGCAGTGAAGGGCGAGGTTGTGATGCCCACCAGCACCTAGGCTATCCATGCGGCCACATCTTCCTCACTTGCTGCGAGGAAGGGGATGCTCTGAGCCTGTTGAGGAGAAAGCAGAAGCCAAGACCAACTGCCCTTCCCAGGAAAGGTATCTGTAAACCACTGCACAGTCAATTTCCACCTGGCAAAACACGTATGTTATGCACTTTGCACGTGCTAGGACTTATATTATGTATAATAAAAAACAAGCAAAGGAAGTGGCAGGTGAAACAATGTAGTAATTATGACTGAAAGTTTCAGAACCTTTGTGAACTGTTCTTTCCTGTCTCAACAAAAATATTCATGTAGTGAGGTTAGTGAGGTTAGCTATGTGCCCTTTGATCCATTCCAGTGCATGGCCTACCACATGCTCATTAAATTCAGCAGGTGCTATGTTAATTATCACAGCATGTCACATTTTTTTATAAAATAGGCTGCAAGAAGCAGCGAAAGCAAACACCCGACAGTCTTTTCAGTATGTCCAACAATTAGGTTTGAAATAACATGCCACATTGTTATTCCCACATGAATCGGGGGAGATTCTATCAGTCTAATTCATCTTTTTTTACATTTTATTCCTCTTCACGTTTGCTTTTATTTTGGGATGGTCAGTAAAGAGAAATTTGGGGAATGTCTTTGTTTCCCAGTCACAGTTCTGTGATCCAAAATACGAAGAAACAGAGATTGAGTGTAAAACTCTTTAAGAGTATTTAAAGTTACTTAAGTATGAAAAAATAAACAAATACATTCACAAACAGGAGATATTTTACATCCCGCATATTGCTCCTGTCTGTTTAAACTTTTTGTCTGTGTAGGAACTTTTTAGAACTGAACAGAGACAAGTCATTGCAGGTCAAAGAAACCAGAGACAGAAAAGGTTCATATTTACCATCCTTTTCTCAGAAACACAGTGAGCAAGTCAGGAATGTTGCCATCAGTTCGGACATTCAGTTCAACTAAATTCAATTCGCCTGACAATATTACAGAGAAAACAATCAAACAACCTGCTTTTGGGCAACATTTGGTGACATTGGGACGGAAAACACACTTTTAACAGGAAGAAACCTCCAGCAGAACCACACTCAGGGAGGGGAAGCCATCCCCCATGACTGGTTGGGGGTTAGAGGACTTTATGCTTTATCAAAAGGGAAATCTTGGATTCTCCTGAATCCAAACTGGGAGCTGAAAGCTTTGATATGATGCTATGAGATCTATGGTGATCTTATTAATATGGCATCACATTAATAAGATTGCTGGAAGTGCTTTCTACCAGAATCAAGAATTTAAAAAACTCTCATCTCAAAGTGACTTGAAGAAATTTGTTCATGCAGGCAGATCATACAGGTTACAATACTGTAAAGCTCAGTGTACCAGGACTATCCATGAAGCATGAGTACATGGCTGAAGGAAATTCACTGGTGTGCGCCGGCAGTATATCGCTGACTTGCTCAGTGTCTATAACTCAAATGGACCTTTCAGGTCATCATGTGCAAATAATTTAACTGCTCCCAGAATTGGATCTAAGTGTGCTGAGGGTGCTCTTATTACTGTGGTCCTGTTCTTTGGCTCAAGCTACCCACTGACCTTAGATCAGTCACATCTATGTGTGCATTCAAAAACAGACTCACAGTCTTTTTAATCTCATAGGCTTACATTTAATAGCTTTTGTCTGTTTGCATGTTTGTTATGGGTTAGGTTTCTGTGTTTTTATCTTTCATGTTAAGCACGTTGAGTTTATGACACATACACACTCCTCACCAACTTCTCACGTATTTGTGGCTACTGGCAAAACTGCACTACAACAGCAAGCAGTCCAGATCTGAGCCATCAGTATTTTATTCTCATACAGGCCTATGTCAGATGCTCAGGGTTGATCGGTCAGGAGTCACGTTACCGTGCAGAGTAATGGGGAGCTGTGATGAATCAGGAACAGATGGCAGCTCGGGCTGTTGTCTCTCTACTTGGGCCAGCAAAGTTTTCCTCTGTCTTTGATCCAGCGGGTTGTCAAGAAGCTCAGGTTTAATGCACAAGCATTTCAGCAAACCTTTGCTTTTCATTCCATCTGCAAAAACATGACTGCTTGTTAACATTTCACTGAATATGACCTACATACCTTGTTTGCAGCTGTAGGCGCTATTAGAAGGGATTTGCATGTTTTTCATCAATGACATCAGATTCGTGATGGGTGACATAAAACTTTTTACAAAAGCAGAAGAATCATTCCATAATCATTAGTTTGCGGTTTGGAAGACCCTTTTCCGGCTTCTTAGTTTTATATATTGGGAACAGACACACGGCATGGAAATGCAGTTCATTATTTTCATGGTTGTCCTTTAATGGGAATAGTTGTTTTTTAGTACGATGGTGAGGTAAGGTTGGTCTTCTCAACGCTTTAGGCTGTTATTTCATTCACAACATAAGAGGAATTCCACATAATCCTGCCCTTTAATAGGCTCTGCTTGAACAATCCACTGCAGCTCATTTCCTTTAGCTTCCAAAAAAAGTCTGAATGATGTCATTCTGAAGTGGGAATCAATTAACCTGCTGAAAGCTTTGCAAGGTTTTAAGGTTGCAAAAACTAGTGACGTCCATTGAGTCTATCTAATAATTCTCGCAAACACCCTCACAGCAAAGATGCCTTTACTGTGTGAGTGTATTTAGAATTTTAAAAATTGCATGAGAAGCAACTGTAATTATTTCCAGGGGGGATATTTTGAGTCTTATGACTCACTGCCTTTTAATTAAAGCAGGAAACATTTAATCCTCTGAATTTAAACCCCAGGTAATGATTGTGAGAGATATTTTTTAAAACCCACATATTATTGATAAATTATATTTTTGCAATGTATCTCTCCATGTCTTCTGGCTCAGGGGGTTGGGAATCGCATCTGTAACCGGAAGGTCGCCGGTTCGATCCCTGGGCTCTCTGTCCTGGTCGTTGTGTCCCTGGGCAAGACACTTTACCCTACTTGCCTACTGGTGTTGGCCAGAGGGGCTGATGGCGTGATATGGCAGCCTCACTTCTGTCAGTCTGCCCCAGGGCAGCTGTGGCTACAACTGTAGCTGCCTCCACCAGTGTGTGAATGTGAGAGTGAATGAATAGTGGCATTGTAAAGCGTTTTGGGTGCCTTGAAAAGCGCTATATAAATCCAACCCATTATTATTCTGTTCTACAAAGGGAAAATGCATCAGTAATAACCTAAATCCCGAGCTCAACATTTATGGACATTTTTTTTCCAGTCAGCCTTTATTTAGTCCAAAAATACTTTGCTTTACAAATTTAGCCCAAAGCGGCACGTACAGCAGCCGTATTAAAGCCTTAAAATCTGATCCGAGGATGCACCTGCCAAGTCATGTGACCATAAAGATTTAGCAAGATTGAACGCAGTCTTGCTTGAATATTGGATAATGGATAGTGTTGGATAATGCAGCATACAAGTTTAGCAATATACATTTATCACATCTGCATATCTACTGTTTGAGATAAAACACTTTGTTTTCAAGGTGATCTCAATCAAGTTGGGTCATTATTAAGTGTACGAGGCACAGCGCACTTTTCAGAGAGACAGTTCAGTAATCAGAGGTGTCACAAGCACAGACATTCATTAGTTAAACAGAACTACACAGACCTGTGTAAAAGTTGATGAACTGCTAACTTTTAGTTAGCAGACACACAAACAGTTTGTGTGTCTGCTGATGTTTGTTGGTCAGATAGAAAGGCTCCATGTGATCGTTGATTCGTTGATCGCAACCCTTTCCTGATGCAGGTTCTGCGAGAGGTTTTTCCTGCTGTCCTGAGTTTTTGCTTGTGACTGTCACCCAGTTCTTGCTCAAACAGGGCTGTCTGATTGTTGGGGTTTTCTCTGAATTATTGTAGGGTCTTTAAATGAACTCAATTCTCAACTCTAATATCAATGCTTTCTAGTCATCAGTGCTGGGGAGTAACGGAATACATGTACCAGCAGTATGTATTGAAAATACAAAATATGAGTAACTGTATTCTGTTACACTTACAGTTTAAAAAGGTGGTATTCAGAATACAGTTACTTTGTTGAAGTAAATGGATTACACGGCGGTACTTCCCTGTTTCATATGTTAGGCTGCCCCCTCTCTATATTTGGTAATTCCACGCAGGTGGAAACCCAAACAAAACAATGTCTGTGTCTCACGGACCACGTCACTACCACTTGTGGCCCGGAGGTGGCGAGGTGGAGAAATATTTTTAAAAATTATTATTTAAAAAATGATTTAATATGAAGGCAATAGGCAGAGTGTTACAGGCATAGCCCTAAAGAATGTAGCCTTATGGGCAGTGTAGTCCGTGCTGCAGGGAGAATGGACTGCCATACCCGTTACGTTAGAGCAGCCTTTCAACGCCTCTCTCTGTCTCTCACTAGCAAACTTGACCCAGACAACAAAGTGAAGCTAGCTTTTGGCTACGAGCCCGACACAAACCCGACGTATTAGCCAGAGGTCCCTTTACTACGGTTCGGAGCCGTGGACCTGTTTTATATAGTCTTCTATACGAGATCGCTGCAAAAAGTGCAGCCTTACCTAATGTCCACCGACTGTTACTCATTTATATTAAGATTTAAAAATCTAGTTGGTGTTGGTTGTCAAGAGCATGATCATTTATTAAGTAATCCAAAGTATTCAGAATACGTTACTCTCATTTAGTAAAGAACATTAAGCGTTCTATAAATGCAATGAGGGTTTCACAGTTGACTTTTTACATTTGTTTTCATGTAAAACTAAAACAGGAAATGTATAACTGCACTGTATAAACACACATACACACTTTGAATTTGATTGTAGGGGACGAGCAGATGTTGTTTTGTGTCTTCAAGTCAGTTTCATTAGATAAGTGTTTGGAATAAATACAGAAAATCTGGTTCCTAATCTTACACCCCCCCCTCCTCTCCACGGACTCCCAGTATCAGACAATAAGTTCCCCAAGGAAGCCTTCTCCATCAGTTCCACAGATGAAGCTGCCAACACTGTGGAGGAGCAGGAGGATGTTGACGAGTGTGAGCTCTACCCTGGCCAGCTGTGCCAGCACACATGCACCAACATCTGGGGCTCCTATCGCTGTAGCTGCCACCAGGGCTACATCCTGCAGCTGGATGGACATTCGTGTGCACCAGGTACAGTAGCCCGTCCTTAAAATCATAATTTTAATTTCATATTTGGAGAAATCCAAGGCTTGACAAGATTGTTGTGCTGTGTTTGAAATGCTGAACAATGTGTCATATGTAGTTATATATATCTGTCATGCACAATACACAAAAACATGACATGCACTAATTGCATAGAGGCTAAAGGAACAGGGTTTCCATGTGTTTGGTAGTATAGGTACATTTAAACATCTCAGGAAGAGCTGAAAGTGACAAATGGACATAAGATTATTTCAAAAGGAGTTTCACTACTCCCATTACTCTAGGCATATGCTTTATGTTGGGGTGCTAGCAGGGTGATTGAATATGAGCTGAGAGAGAGCTCAGTGGAGCACTCAGAGAGCACAACTCCTCTCGAAGGGCAAGGGCTCTACTAAAACTTTGATGTTTTATGAGGGTGGTTAATGACATCAGCCTGTTATGGCGTCATTATGACATCTTAGGTCATCATATTGAAAAAAAATGATTGTATAGCTCTCTCTTGTCATGGTTTCTTTAAATATTTTTTCAAGGCTAATTTTGACCTTGGGCACTAACAGTGAAGGTCATGGTCAAATGCTTAGTCAATACAGGTACTTATTTCCCCCAAGATCAAGTATTTTGTTGCAAAGTTTGAAGAATATTCATGAAAAGCTGTGGGTAATATAAAGTTTTTACTGATTTTCATATTTGGTGTGACTTTGACCCGATTTTCATCAAAATGAAATCAGCTCGAGCTATTATTGGCATCTACCATCGCACAAGATTTTAAAATGATATCTTGAAAACTTTGGATGCTACACTGCTAACAAACAGACAAATGAATGCTTTGTGTATTTATTTTAGAAAAATGACACCGTGAGAGTGGTGTATAACAATCAGCCATGACATAAAAACCACATGCCCACTGTGTCCATGACCTGTCTCCGAGGTTCTTCAAGGACAGGTTAGGCTGTTTGGGACCACGTGAGTTTGAGAACTGGATAAGCACTGTTTTTTTTGAGCTGTTCAAGTATTATTGCACAGCCATGAGCTGGTGTGGGGCTCTTGGGCTGCAACAGTGCTTAGGTGGGTGGTAGATGTAAAGTAACATTTACATGCATGTCAGGAACCAAGGTTCCAAGCACTGGACATAATGAGTTGTGTTAATTACTTCATTTGTCACATTATTTGAAATTCTGTGCCTGTCATATTTAGTTTGACCCTGTGCTACTTCGGTTTAAAAAAACTCCACGTGTTCAGAATTCACTGACACGAGATGAGGCAGCTGCATAACAAAAAAGTATTTTACTTCCACTAAAAGCTTAAATGCAGAAATCTCAGTAAGCTAATCTATGGTTGTGCTGTGGTTAAACCAGCACCAGATTTGATCGCCATCATATTTATGGCCCTTGGGAAAAAGATATTTAAAGAGGAGTATAACAAATCCACCCATTACGACCTCAAATAAAAATGTTCATTTATTCATAGAACTCTCTCTGCTCCATAAAAGAGTATAATGACAAAAACACTCAGCATGGGTCAAATGATGTCTTGGAATATTGCTCGTTTTCAAATTTGCTGCATATATTAGAAACATTAAATGGTAGGAACGCAGTAGCCTCGGTTAGCTGGACCGCTACATGTTTCTCACAGTCTGTGCTGTTGTTGTTCTGCAGTGAGCTTCAAGGAGGACAATGGCCTCAGAGAAGTTGACGGTCCAGCTTTTTCCCCCACCACCACTACTACTAAAACTACTACAACCACCACCAGCTCCTTTAGCCTCAATCCATGTGCAGGTAATCTAAACACTGGACCACAAAGCAAATGACATCACTGGGACAACCTGTCTCGGAAAGCAGCTCTGATGTGCAGTGAGGTGGCTGTAAGTCAGGTGGTAGAGCAGGTCATCTACTAATCAGAAGGCTGGTGGTTCGATCCTGGGCTGCTGATACTAACTTCAAGTTGCTCTCTGATGCATTCATTGCAGTATTGAATGTATGTGAATGTTAGATAAAAAGCACTGCATAGAAAATGTGCTTGGGTGAAGAAAAGTGCTAAATAAGAACCGCTCCATTGGTAGAAACATCAACTGATCCCCAGAGAGCAGACACGATTGACCATAATCTGGAACATACATCTTGGTAACAGTGCTGTCAGGAGTTTTGTGGCGTGCAACAGTCTTTGATTAGTCTTTTGAGGAGAAGTCTAACCCTTGGGCTCAAACGTACTCGCTGTGAGTTTGGTTTAAGGGTTAGAGCAACTGTCACCTGAACTGTAGCCCATATGAGGTAGACCCTGAATCAGCTTCATCAGTCAGGTTAAAGGTTAAATGTGTGTCATATTTTTTGCTATTTGGATCCTTTTTGCCACATTTCCAATAAGATATCATAAACTGCATTATAGTTGTTGTAGTTGTGTCTAACTTCTCTAAATATCTTTCAGAAATTCTACTTTATTCTTAACTGAGACCCACAGGACAGCTATCACACATGTAGCATAATTAACTTGAGTAAGGCAGTAGTCCAGGCAGGTCACACCCGTCTGTCATGTGCTAATAAAAAAAGCTTCATAGTAGCTTTTTTTTGTCTAATTCTGCAGCCGAGGGATAAAGAGTGGAAATGTGGTTGTAGGTGAGCATACGGTGTGGCTCCTCACACTGTGCACGATGAAAGGACACTTTTTTGTAGGTGATGTCCATATGTTTTCCTGATGCTTCAAACTTTTCTTGATTTCTTGTGTTAAAAGTTATTTTGTATAATATTAGATTTTCTGCATTCTGTGTAGCAGTAAAGATAGATTAAAATTATTGGGTTAGTAATCTGTCGCCTGTGTAACCTGGAGAGATGAATGCAAGCTGTTTTTATTGCATCCATACACACGACTTCCATTATTTCTGTCACGGTAATTTCAGTTGTAAGACAACATATTTTTTATTAGTGGGCATTTTTTGTGTGTTATTTGTGTTTCACAGTCAGATTAAGCTCTTATTAAACCCCCAAACAATGTATCCTCCTTTTTGGGTGTACCTAATCATTCAGCTAACTGGATAAACTGCTCCAGACATAATGAAGGAGGCCAGCAAAGATATTAAAGGCAAATGCAAAAGTTGCAATGCAATTGTCCCTTAAAATGTTGCCATATCTGGAAAAGATTTATGACAGGAGCTCAAAAACACAGCTCAAACAACTCGAGATGTAGGTCTATAAAGCAATAATGAAGTCTAATATAATATATTGGACCAATAAATGTTATAAATATACCAAAGTCAAAGAGAGAACATTTGCAGTCAACACAGCTGGTCTCTTATATTATTCATAGATTTACTTAATATATCAATATCACCAATGTCAGAATATGACACATGATTTTTGGCTCTGCTATGCTTCTCCACTGATCCCTTACTTGGCTCACATTTTCTGTTAGTCTTTGGACGCTGTGTGCTCTAAGCCATCATAAATGATGACCCAAGCAATCAGAATATATATTTTTTTCAACACCATGGAGTCCAAAGAACACACCAGACAGGTCAGGGATAAAGTTATTGAGAAATTTAAAGCAGGCTTAGGCTACAAAAAGATTTCCCAAGCCTTGAACATCCCACGGAGCACTGTTCAAGCGATCATTCAGAAATGGAAGGAGTATGGCACAACTGCAAACCTACCAAGACAAGGCCGTCCACCTGAACTCACAGGCCGAACAAGGAGAGCGCTGATCAGAAACGCAGCCAAGAGGCCCATAGTGACTCTGGCAGAGCTGCAGAGATCTACAGCTCAGGTGGGGGAATCTGTCCACAGGACAACTATTAGTCGTGCACTGCACAACGTTGGCCTTTATGGAAGAGTGGCAAGAAGAAAGCCATTGTTAACAGAAAACCATAAGAAGTCCCGTTTGCAGTTTGCCACAAGCCATGTGGGGGACACAGCAAACATGTGGAAGAAGCTGCTCTGATCAGATGAGACCAAAATGGAACTTTTTGGCCAAAATGCAAAACGCTATGTGTGGCAGAAAACTAACACTGCACATCACTCTGAACACACCATCCCCACTGTCAGATATGGTGGTGGCAGCATCATGCTCTGAAGGTGCTTCTCTTCAGCAGGGACAGGGAAGCTGGTCAGAGTTGATGGGAAGATGGATGGAGCCAAATATAGAGCAATCTTGGAAGAAAACCTCTTGGAGTCTGCAAAAGACTTGAGACTGGGGCGGAGGTTCACCTTCCAGCATCAACAACCCTAAACATAAAGCCAGGGCAACAATGGAGTGGTTTAAAACAAAACATATCCATGTGTTAGAATGGCCCAGTCAAAGTCCAGATCTAAATCCAATCAAGAATCTGTGGCAAGATCTGAAAACTGCTGATCACAAAGGCTGTCCATCTAATCTGACTGAGCTGGAGCTGTTTTGCAAAGAAGAATGGGCAAAGATTTCAGTCTGTAGATGTGCAAAGCTGGTAGAGACAGACCCTAAAAGACTGGCAGCTGGAACTGCAGCAAAAGGTGTTTCTACAAAGTATTGACTCAGGGGCTGAATAATTATGCACACCCCACTTTTCAGTTATTTATTTGTAAAACATGTTTGGAATCATGTATGATTTTCGTTCCACTTCTCACGTGTGCACCACTTTGTGTTGGAATTCCAATAAAATAGATTCATGTTTGTGGCTGTAATGAGACAAAATGTGGGAAAGTTCAAATACTTTTGCGAGCCACTGTATATATAATTCTTACATGTCAAAAACACATCCTGTAGGCTTAAAACAAAATCCAACACTAGCTCTGAACGGGTAGCCAGTGACATGGTGGATGTTAAGACGTTAAAGCTTTTTTTTAATATCCTTTATTTAAAAGTAAAAATTTTCACTGAGTTTAAAATTTATTTTCCAAGAGAGACCTCGCCAAAATGTGTCCAAACATGTGTAATATGTGGTGAGAATGAGTTATGGCTTTATGTATGGTGGGGAAATGAACAAGCCATCACTACTGCATTCACTTTCTAACTCTGTCTATAGAAGTCATACATTTCTGCTCTTACTAACACGATGTGTGTGAGCGCCTCCTGACTGCTCACAGGTAAAACATTCCAGAGTTACGACAGGTCAAAACAGGAAGAGCTGCCTCACAACATGTTTTCACTAATAAACTGATTAGTATTAGTTAATCTAAGCTTTCAGCAGCTTCATTAGCAGAATCCTAATCATGTCAGTGGGAGATGAGCACTGCAAACCCTTAAGCTCAAAAGTCCAACTTCGAGTGAAAGCCTCCACTCCTTCAAAGTGTCTCTGTTAGCTATAAGAAGATCCTGATCGATGTATAGAGCGGCCTTCGCCGCTACAGAGCTTTAGAGGGGATTGTGTTGGTTAGAGATTGTGGGGAAACAGTTCCTGGCCCATGCCTCTTTGTGACAGAGCTATTGAGCTGTTAAATAGGGAGAATTGATTCTGGTGTGTGACTGCGATGGCTCATGAGAGGCTCCTTCCAGCAGGGAGCAAATGATCAGTGTGCGGGAGGGAAGGTGGGGTCCATGGTAGCCTCGGGAGAGCAAGAGAAACAGTACAAAGATGAGAAACATGACTGCAAATGACTGCCCTGGAGGTGTAGCTGTGTGGAATGCAGAGACGACTGTAATCATGCTGCTTGTCTCTTGCAGACAACGGTGGCTGCAGTCAACAGTGTAAGGCCGTGGCAGGCCGGGCTCGCTGCTCCTGCTTCCCGGGGTTCTCACTGATGACAGATGGATGGATGTGTGAAGGTAAGGGCTGCCGTGCTTTCTTGTCACATTACCATTGGCAGTAATTGGAGTGGTTCACAAAGCTCATATGTATCCCTTAAGCTGTCTCCCTCAAGCCTGGTTACCACAAGGTAACAAGCAACCTAACAGCAACAACAAACCCAGTGAATGCATAAAGGAACAAATACATGCAGGCCGGATGACAGAGCTGCAGTGAAATGAAGTGTCTGTCCATAGGTCGGGGCACTTTTCAATTGGATTCAGTCACTCATGAAGGTCTCGTGATGCTAAACAATGCATCAGCTGATTGGGCTCCCAATGTTAGGTGGTGGAAACTGTCGCCTCAAGCATGATTCAACCATAGCCAATTACTCTGTGGGAGCAGTTGTTGCAATATCACACACTACACACAGCATCTGTGTATGTACTCAGTACCTTTCTTTCAGCATGTTTGTGTGGTAGCTCGGGACACTGGTAGGAGGCTTTAGGTGCGAAATCACTAAAATTAACAAAGTGTGTGCTGGAAGTGCTGAGTCTGTTACCAGACAGGATAACACTCAAGATGAACAAGTACTACATTAAAGGAAGTGTTTTCCCTCCTATCATTTCCTTCAGTGAGCAAAGTGAGCACTTTCTTTCCCTAAAGTGCTCCCACATGTGGACTTGTGGGTGGGCAACATTTAGTGCAGAGTGGAATGAAACAAAGCAAATACCATGACAGGTCATGATTGCGAGGGGGTGCTGAGGATTTGAAAGATATATAAGTAGACTGTGAAGTAAACTCTGGAGTACTTGCTGTTGATGCTTGGTGGGTGGGTAGGTGTGTAAAATGAACAAAAATATATTGTGCTGGAATGAAGTGCAAAATAAAGTATATGCTAGTTTTGAATTTAATGCAAGCAAAACATTTCATAAAGGGGCTGAACTTATTTTTGGAGGTTATGGTCTCCAGGCTTCCCATACGGAAAAGAAATAGTAAAAACTTATATGTGATTACTCATGAAAGTGGCCACTTTCATGAGTAAATCATATAAGGCTTACATGATTTACTCATGAAAGTGGCCACTTTCGCATTACTTTCATACATTGTTTTAGTAAGTATCAGAAACATACAAGTTTCATTATATAATTTTTCAGGGGATATTATATCTGTTTTCACACTTATATGCTTTTCATACAAGTTTCATTATATAATTTTTCAGGGGATGTTATATCTGTTTTCACACTTATATGCTTTTCATACAAGTTTCACACAAGACAGATACAAACTTTATAAGATTTATGTATATCTTTTCCATATGGGTTTGTGGGCTAAAACTGGAGGGACCACCTGATTGGTTTCAGCCCACAGTTCAAATATACATATGGTACGGGGATTGCACATTAGTGCACATGTCATGAGTTAGTTGCACATCTGTGAAGGAAACTTTAGTGCATAAATGTGTTCAGGTTTTGAAGCAACATATGCCTCCATCTTTTTCAGGGCCATAGGAAAGGACTTGCTTATTTGTGCAAGACAATGTCAAACCACCGTTTGCAACTATTAGAAGACTGCTGACATTAAAAAAGGAGGAACAGCTGAAATCTGTTATGAAGCAAAAGCACTGTTTTTAAAGAAGAGGTGATGCAACACAGAGGGTTTCATATGCTCTATCATTTTAATGGAATATAGACTTTAAATGATTTGCACATGATCCTGAGTGTTTTTGAAATGAGGGTGCATCAGACTGTGAAAGTATTAACACCTGGGATCATTTGCACTTTTCTGTAATTTGTTTAGCAAATGGAAGCACTTCCATCAGAAAACCTGCGAGTCGTCCCTTATTGAGACTGTTATATTTTAATTTGCAGGTTTACAGGGTAAATACAGCTGCTTTTCGTGATCTCGCTTTCAGCTGCATATGAATGTGAATAACTGGTAATATTTTAGCACACAGTTCTTCCCATGGAGATGTTTTTTTTTAAGAAAAGACTGTTTTTAAGAGAAGGTTTTATGCACAACTTGAATGATACATGTGGTTCAGACAAATGAACATCCCAGGGGCGTACACCCAAATGCACACACAGTTGGCTCCAGTGCATGTGGCTGACACCTTCACCCTTTTCTGAACTGGGACTAAACAAACCATTGCGGGCAGGACTGGATTTGTTTTGCATTCCTTCGAGTGTTTTGTGGAGATCGAAAGCTTACAGAGTTATTACTTGAATGATAACTATGGATGACATCCTCCACCATGTTATCATCTCTGTGGTTGCATTGCTGCCATAATCTGGACACTTACATGGTCAGGATTGTCTTTGTGGAAGATGACACTGATTGACCACGATGTCTTCTGAATCACAGTCCAATCTAGGCTAAAGTAATCTCTAATCTGACTCTAATATCATCATCCCATACAGACGTTCCTGGTGTTTCTCAAGGTTTAGGCAATATTTTAGTGTTTTTCTCAGACAATCAAGTCATTCAGTTTATGCCTGGAAAGGAATGTAAATGAAATTTACTTCAGTTTTATTTACATAGCACTGGTTTACAACCCCTGTTACCTGAAGGGGCTTTATACTGAAAGGTAAAGACCATACAATACCTCAACAAACAGATGACCCCCTATGAGAATGCACTTGAAAACAGTGGGATGGTAAAATTCCCTTTTAACAGCAAGAAACCTCTGGTGACTGGATGGGTCGAGGTGAAACTTTCTATTTTATAATTATAGAACAATTTAAGCAATGAGCTACCAGAGCCCCAAGAGTCCTGCTGACATATGTCTTTCATTTACTAGAGCAGCATTAGAAAAACTGAGGCGTACTGTTTCAGTCCTTTTTCATATATTAACATATTTCAGTAAAGACGAGTTTCACTGCTCTGACCCACTAACATCGACAACACTGAATCAAAATTATTGGCTTTATTTTCTGTCAGTGATCTTTTGGCTCATCAATTTATCATTTTCAGTGTCTGTACACAAAAACCTGGAAACTAAAGTTGCATCTGTGCAAATTGTAAAAGCCTGAAAAAATACCCCAATAACAGGTACACACCTGAATGCATCTGTTCCACTCTGTGTGGTTTAGCTGCCTTCATTTATCCGCTGTCACAGCCGACAGTGGAATCTGCAACTTTAACCTCCACGTTTAAAACTAGTTCGGCAAATAAGCCAAGGCTGACTTCATTCACTGCAGCTTGACCTTAAAAAAATAAAAAATAAATAAATACTTCATTGTCTGCTGGGTCAAGTGTGTAGGAAAAACTGTGTGTGTGTTTTCATCTGTGGTGCCTTTCGGACATCTCCCTGTGCTCGCTCTTGATGGAATTCCTTTCAAACTGCTGTCTCCCTTGTCCATTCAACTAAGCATTTGTATTTCTCAAAAATAAGTTGTTTCCACCTTGTACTGGATCGCTTCACTGTGTAATGAGGCTGTCTCCACGGGGCAAGTCAGCAGAGGTGTAGGGACATTGAAGCATTAGGCCCGATTTCCTTTGCTTTTTCGGATTTGAATGACAAACTGGAAATAACGTTGGCCACCAGAGCGCTGTGGTGGAAGGAGACTTTCTGCACCACTGGCAATACGCAAACTTTGGAAACAGTCCTGTCTAACCCTGTGCTTGAAGGCCAGCAGCGCCCAGAGGAAGGGGTGGTCTATGAGCTCAGGAGGATTTTGCCCCTGGAAATATCCCTCCCTACAATGTTCATAACAGATGTCTCTCAGTTGAGGAAGAAATGGAGACGTTTGCAAAGATAGCTCGCAAACAAGAATTTGTCACCACTGCGCTGCTCAAGAAGGGAAAACTGTTAATTTTATTTAGACAAATGCATTTTCTGCAGCTCCACAGGGGGCTCATATAATACCATAAAGTACGCTCTGAGCTGTGAGAGGTGATGAGGTGCAGTTTTATGAGGTTAACAGAAAAAAAGCTGCAGGATGTGACAAAGCCAGGTACACGCTGAAAACTTCAGATCTGTGTTTTTACTCCTGCCTGTGGGATGGTGTTGTAAGGCACACAGTTTATTCAAATTCCCCACGGCAAAAACTTTGAAAGTCGACAAAGACTTTTCAAAAAGGGATTGCTGGCACTCAAACACACACACGGGGAGCACAGGAGAATATGTTCCCTCTTGTTCCAGATTTTTGTTTTCTCCAGCATATTTTGTACAACACCTTTTTTGTCTGGTTCCCTGTGGAATGCACCATATTTTGGGGTGATCTTCAAATGTGGATGGCTGCCACACACAAACAAACACACATACACACACACAATAATCCCAGCGTTACCCTATCAGTGCATCCAACTAATCGGCCTCGCATGTGATGCGTGATAAGGGAATGCAGCCGTTTGATAAAGACGAGCCACGACAGAGCGGCGATCCACCGTCTCAGCACAAGGCCACCGCTGTCATAAATCAACAGCGCCTGTTTACTGGCTGCTGCACAGTTTGACTGATAAAGATTTAAAGGCTCTCAACTGTTTTTTCATTTCACACAAACACGCTTAACAAGCAAAATATCATGTAGCTTTTGCCCAGACCTGTTATTTTCAGTTTGACTTCTTCAAAGTCAAATATTACAAAGGAACAAACAAAACTCAACTTGGTCATCTATTGGCCACATGCTGCAGTAGATAGACACATTTTTAAAGGTTATCTTTCACGTAAAGCTTGTTTATTCCAGGTGTTCCAGTTTGAAGACATTTAAATTATTACCTCTAAAAAGAGGTGGATGTTAACTGAACCCTGACCTTAACCTTAAACCTTTAAAGGTAGCTGATGAGCTGGTGGATGTTAACCCTGTGAGGTCATGAGTGGTGATAACCTCAGCTGTAGCCCTAAAGGCTGGAGAAAGGACAAACAGCCTTTTTTGGGGGGGGAATTGAAATTTTCATCTTGCGTGTTAGTTACACAAACAATTTTCTTTGTTTTTTGCCCAAACTTGGGAGAACAATTTAAAAAGAAGAAACATTACATATGTAGATTGCACAGCATTAGAATGAGTGCCATCCAGTGATAACTGGGAATTTAGGGGGTTAAGAGACCGATAGATTAATAAAGTTCTTATAATGAGGTTGTCTGGGGTGGTGGGAGGATAAAATTAAATTATAGGATAATAATGTGTTAGATTTATGACATACCTACCTACACTGCACCGTGATGGCCACCTCCCTACAAAAGTAACAGCAGGAATACAGCTGAGTTAATAGATTATTGGTTCATTTAGGTTTATAAAGTTTATAAAGATTGCTATTTTTTGCAGTTAGTGTCTGCCTAGCACACATGGATATCACCAAATGCTCCATTTCCTTCCCTGAGATGCTGAGCTAGGCGTTTACTGCAGCTGCCTTCATTTTCTGCTTGGTTGTGGGTCTCTTTGCATTAAATTTTTTCTTAAGTACCTGAAAAGCATGCTCTGTTGGGTTGAGAAAAGATGAATGACTTGGCCACTGATTAATATCCAGATTATTTGCCCTGAAAACAATCTTGCTTTTGCAGAACGCTTTGGCTCATTATCCATTTGGACTGTGAAGGAATTTGCAATTAATTTAGCAACATTTGGCTGAATCTGAGCAGAGTGCACACCTGTACACCGAAAAATTCAGCTTACTACTTCTATCATCATCATAATCAAGAAACACCAGACCCACGCCATAACATTGCCTTCACCATGTTTGACAGATGATGTGGTATTCTTCAAGCTAAGGCCTGTTTCTCTCCGTCTACATACTTTTCTCTTCCAATTATTCTGGTAGAAGAGCCTCTGTTTGTTGTTTTTGAAGTATTAATGAGCTCAGCTGTACATTTCACTGCAACTCTTGGTTTTTAGCTGGAGCACTGAATGACTTTCATGCCTGAGGCTTCCCAGCTAGATGGTTTTCATGTAAGCAAAAGCAAAAATTTGTAATTTCCTGTTCTGCCACAAATTCTTACGCATAAGAGAGACTTTTCATTTGAAGTTTTGCTGCTGTCCATCTGTTGCCAACTCACTGAGCTCGATCTCTGTGACGCTCGGAGAGCCTGAGCACGGGGGCAAAATTATGCACGGGACCCGTCCATCAGCAAGCTCACCTCCACATCATATTCTTGCACCCCCTGTTATCTTCCCTCCCTCTGTCTCACACACAGTCACCGTTGTCTTTTTCTGCAGATGTGGATGAGTGCGTGACTGGTGCCCACAGTTGCAAGCCCAGCCAGCGCTGTGTGAACACAGTGGGTTCATTTGTGTGCGAGCTGCAGGTCACTTGTCCTGCTGGTTACCAGCTGCGGAACAGTCTTTGCGAGGGTGAGTTCATTGATCCTGATGTGTTTCATTAAACCAATTTACCCAGCAGTCATTTCCAGAGCCTCTGAAATAGCTGGTGGAAATTATGTCTTCTTCAATATAATATGCAGGATTTTTTTTTATTTTCAGGATGATTTGGTTTTGTAAAAACAAAAGCAAGGACAGTGATATAAAAGCAAAATCACCTGACCCAGCTGTCTTAACTAATTATAGACCAATCTCAATCTTCTTTTTATGAATGAGTAATTCAAGATCATCTGCAGAGGAATTGGTTTGTTTGAAGAGTTTCACAGTTCAGAATTCATCATAGTGCAGAAACAGCACCAGTGAAGGCTACAAATGCTCTTCTTATGGTCTCTGATCACTTTGTATGTGATAACTATATTTTACTACAGAGATACGACCTCTCTGTATTAAAGGTATTAAAGGTACGGCACTGCAGTCTGTTTAATAGACTCCAATTTGTTCATGTAAATGGGGAGTCTTCCTCTCACGCTAAGGTTAATCACGGAATTCCACAGGGTTCAATGTTGAGCGCAATATTTACATTATACATGCTTCCCTTAGGCAGTATTATTGGAAGGCATACATTTTCAGTGCCATTCAGATGACCTCTAATTTCCTGCTTCTAAATTCAGATAAAACTGAGATTGTTGTACTCAGCCACGCAATCAGGTGCCATCTTAAAGACCTCATAGTATCATATCACACCAATGCAGCACGTTGCTCTCAGACAGCTGGTTTACTTGTGGTTCCTGGGGTATTTTAAAAGTAGAATGGGCAGGGCCTGCAGCTTTCGGACCCCTCTTCTGTAGAATTAGTTCCTAGCTTGCATTTGGGAGTCAGACAAGATTAAGTTTACAGTAAAACTTTCCTTTGGTATAAAGTCTACAATTAGAGCTGGCTCCGATGATCCGGAACCAGCCCTTAGTTCTGCTGCAATAGGCCCAGGCTGCTGAGGGCTTGATGCATCTCATTTCTTTTCACTTAGCAGCTACACATCAAGAATACAGCAAGTGCTGTAGCCATTTACAGCACGAACAACAAAAAGCAAGGGAGTTTTACTAAAGAAAATACTTTGTTTAAACTAGCATTGGTGAGCCATATTTCTTATAGTTTAATGTAGTTATTGTGAAGCTGTAGAAATTTCAGCATCAATGTCATATATTTAATAAAGGCTTGTGTACAGAGGCTGACAAAAACTGGGAGTCAGCTTCATTTAAACATTAAATTATGAGACACTAAAAATAAAAATTAGACAAAGAGAAAGTTACAGGAATCTAATTACAGATGTGAAGAAAATAATTTAAAATCTTTTGACATTTTGAATATTAACGATACTCCATTTAAACATTTCATCGAACACATATTGATGTGTGTCAAGGTATAGCTGCTGTCTTCTTATTGTGAGATTTCCTCTGGTGTAATTCCACATCTTGGCACTTACCTTTGGCTGGGGTTTGTGTTTGTGTTGGAGTGTGGGACTCACTGTTGCCACTTTTTCAGAAATTTTAAGAGGGTCCAGAAACAAGAAGCAAGCCCAGCATGCTGGCTCAAACTGAGGCAGCATATTATTGATTCACACACAAGCCATTCTGGTCCTATTGTTTGTCACCTCCTCCTCTCTACTGATCTTTTTAGCGGCATTACTGAAAACACATATTATTGGAAATCCTTTAGGGGTCATAAATCCATGAATACAAGACTGCAGTGTACTGTAGTGCATCATTATTAATGCAATAGGTGCTGCTGTTGTTGTACTGTCCTAGATCCTTGTTTCCTCACTTATTTAGATCAAATTAACACTAGTGATGAGGAAATATGCAAAAATCATTTTCACTGCAACATTCCTGCCATACTTTGTAAACTGCATCTTAAAGGAGACTAAATACATTCACTGAGTATTAGTCACATTGGTATGCAGCATATACTCACAGACAGTGTGCAAGCCTGCATCAACCAAAATAATTACAAGATATACACAAGACTGACGGTAGCATTATGTTGTATTTTATGTATTCTGTGTTGTGTATGTTGGACAACAGCCTGTCTAAACCGAATAATACCAAACCCCTAATTTGGCTGTTGTTTTTATTGTCCTTCATTAGCTCGTATAGCGTTAGCTTGCTAGCTCTAGATTAACAATGCTCTGGGGTTTTGGTGATAGTTATTTCATTAGCTAATGCAATAATTTGAAAATGGCCAGATTATTTATTAGACTGTTTGGGTATCATACGATCCATGTCTTGCAAATGGTCTATGTCAGCATAATAGCGAGCGCTAACATAAGCCAGAATAAATACAGTTCTGGGTGGATTTAATCCCAACCGAACTGCCCCTCTGTGACTCAAGTGCTTGCATACCTTTAAAACTTTTGACCTTACCTACGTGTCAACTTAAAGGGTTGTTCTGGTATGTTAATAGGTAAATATTTCATATCAAGGATTTGTTCAAACAACATGACAACATCTTTGACTACTTTTAATACAAAAACAATTACCCAAAGTCACCTAATTTAGGCTCACTCAGCAAATCGTCATAAAGACAGGAAGTTCATGTTTCCTTGGCCCAAACAGTAAAGTGTGGGTTTAAGCAGATACCAAGGTTCAATATGTTACAAGATAATCAACCAAAGAGCAGGATTGGTGGTGCTGCACTTTGAAGCTCATGTGACTCGTATCACAGAGGACTAATCAGTACAAGCATAACATGAAGGTAGTATCTAGTCAACCATCCAGCAGGCAAAAAAAGTAATTAGTTATATGAAAGCAGTGACAGAATGTTGGAAGAGTATCCCTCTGATATTAACAACAGAGAAAAGTCAAATTAAGACCTGCTCAAAATGAACTACTTGCGGCATGAAAAAAAGGAAAAAACTCTCATATTGCTCATGAGATTCAATAACTGTCATTTAAGTTCTGTTCAACTTCTGTTAATTGCACAGTCGAATCAAGCGATGTTTTCATTGAATTCTTCCCTCCAGTTAAACACTGACAGAGTCAAAGTGTGTAAATGTTCTGTGCTTGAGTCACAGTGCCCCCTGCTGTACTACTAACAGCCGGAGAGCTCGAGCTAAATTTACAGAGCCTCTTGTAACAGAATAATGCATTGAGAGATTGCTTTGTGCAGATAAACTAATGCAAATCTATTCTTTCTTTACAGACATTGATGAGTGCACGATGAGAACTCATAACTGTGGCATGGGCCTTGTGTGTGAGAATACAGTGGGCTCTTTCCTGTGTAATCCCAAACAGAAGTGCATCAGTGGCTTCACACAGGACTCTCATGGCAACTGTATTGGTAAGAGACTGCCCATACTCTCCAGGCTGGGTAGCATTACATCCTAACTCAGGACCAGTAAACAGCTGATAGAGTTGGTCCTATTCTTTGTAAGGACAAATCTTAAGCAAAATGAGCCTCTTTAGCAGAGCCATCCATCAAACTTACTCTGCATTGTGCCTGTGTCTGTGTGTTTTTCCATGCTGCAGTACTACTCGGACTCTTGATATTTAACTGTCTTTTAACCAGGCTTTAACTATCTTGATATTTCTCAAGAGTTTCAAACTACAAGATTTTAAATCAAGTGTCTTTTCTTCATTTTTGCATTACAGTTATTGTGTTATGTAAAGCTTTCTGAGTGTTCCAAATAGGTGAAAGGGGGGTTAAAAGGTTAACCAAAGTAAGAACATACACCTAACCTCCGATGGCGTTGCTGGTGACTGATATCAAGAGATTGCTAACATGGGTCTTTTGGGGCAGTGATTATGCACAACAATACGTTTGATCAGTCTATGTATAGTAAAGTCATCTTTCTGACACAGTTTACACACATGATAAGACACAGTGGTCCATGAGTGGTAAAAGCTCTTACCTCTGCCGAGCACTTTATGCAATTAGCTCACTTCTGTATCTGTTTGGTAGGAAGGCTACCCAAAAACTTATGGATTTGCATTTACTTCTTAATTCTTGATTCTTGTGAGAGTAATGTAACAGAAGTGACATATTCTGGAGTTAGCATTAGGGTTGGTGAAAGCGCTGATGATGACTTAGCCCTCAGAGCATTAAGCTGAGCTCACCACTGGATTCAGGAATTTTTTTTAAAGGATTCTTTATCATAGCAAGATGTCACGCTGTACCTGTGAAAAAGTATTTGACAAGACTTCAGATTTTCTCTTGTTCCTGAGCTCACTTCAACACAAATCACTGTACTAACACAAAGATTAAACAGAATGTAATCCAATTTTCTTTGGATTACTTGCACTTTTCTCAGTACCGTGCAGGGCAGCATCACTGCAAAATGAGCGAAACATAATATTCACCTCTGGGTGCTCCTGATGTCATAAAACTGCCCCGTGTACCTCGGCTGATCTACAGCCAAAGCAGAGCAAGTAATCATCAGTGGTAATGTCTCCCTGCAGATGACTGCACATACATCACAGATCTGTCTGAGGGTGGGAGGATTTTCTCTGTATGTATTATTGTAGGGTCTACCTTACAATACAAAGCACCTTGAGAAGACTGTTGGTGTGATTTGATGCTGTATAAATAAAATTGAATTGAAGTAATCTTAAGCCTATCAGGATTGAGCCTCCGCGCAGTCACAGCTTCATTCTTGATCTTTTTGACTCTGCAGATATAAACGAGTGCAGCAGCCTGACTGAGCCCTGCAGTTCAGGCTTTAACTGTATCAATACCGTTGGCTCCTACACGTGCCAGAAGAAGATTGTGATGTGTAGCCATGGTTACCACGCCAGCCCTGATGGAGCCAAGTGTGTTGGTGAGGTTTAGCACAACATGCACCACTCACACAGGAGGATGGTGTTGTGGAAAGGTGTGAATGAAAGCACTGATGGCCCTGTTGTTGACCAAGACACAGGTTCAATCGATTAGATACAACCAGGAAAAATGCAAGAGTGAATATTATTTATAATCACTTCTATTCTTTCAGTTAAAGGTCATCGTACAGTTGTGGCACAAGAGTTTTTCTAAAAGACCATGCATCGATGCTCTCACTCAGTTGCTGCTTTGGTACTCAAAACTGCTCAAAAAGACAGACTTAAAATGAGAACAACTAAATCTTGTTCAGCTTACATGCAGTTCTTAAATGGTGTCAAATTATGCTTCATTTAATTGTATTCTTATAAATGACAATGCAAGTACTGAGTGATTGTTTGATCAAGATGTCGATGAGCAAGAGGAAATGTCGCCGCCAAGAGTCACAAAGGGAGTGCTGTATCAGAAACCTCCTTGTGACTTTACTTTGGTCGCAAGCAGATTGCAGTCGTTGCCTGTGCTGTATGTTGATGACGCCGACTTGTCTGCAAACATGTGCCATTTACTCTACCATAGTAGTGATTCTGTATTGGATAGATCCAGTTTTAGCTCCCATCCCACTGGCCTGCCGTTGTCCCTGCTATTTAAAATCTTGCTTCCTACTCATTCATTTTTCTATCTTCACACCACTCCCCCATATTTTTAAAAGTATTACACACAAATAAGGAAATTGACTAATTAAGCTTTATTGTGCCCATTGTCTGAAATACTCACTGGTTCCCTAAACTAACCCTAAGTGGTCTGTAATTGTTGTTTTTAATAAATTGTTCTCCCAAGAAAATATTTATTCTGATACACACCAACAATTATTTTCCAAAATAATTTAAAAATAAAAATCATTTTAAAAACATAAATAACAAAATAATAATACCCAGAGAGTGAGAACATTGATGCCTGGTCTTTTTGGACTGTAACAAGCCTTAGCTGTGTTTAAGTTATACCCTCTCGGGTGCTCAGTGGGTCACTGTTGAAGTGCTTCATCTTTCTTTCTGCCTGCGTAGACACTGACGAGTGTCAGATGGGGACGCACCGCTGTGGAGTGGGCCAGATCTGTCACAACCTCCCCGGCAGCTACCGCTGCGACTGCCAGACAGGCTACCAGTATAACGCCTTACGCAAAGTCTGCACTGGTACGTATCACTGTGTGACGTCTGCAAGTGAAGATGTTCAGACTGAAGGTTCACTTTATCGAGCACTTTTGAAACCAGAGAAGCTATGGGTGCAAACGTCGGCTCACTGAATCAGAGCTTTTCTGTTATGATGTCAGATTTGACCAAACTGGGTTGGATAACACTTTCTACACTTTCAGCCTATCATTTGTAAAAAATACTTATTATTTGTGGATTTCAATTCTTGGACGAAACATAAAGCATATTTATTCCTGATATTCTCATAATTCTCATAATTATTAATTGTCAGCAGATTAGACATGCAACCGTCCAGTCTCCAGGCAGATGTCAGCAAGCAGGCTTAAATGTTCTAAAGAGTACGAAAGCAGAACTCAGCTGACATTTTACACACTGTAATTTTACGAGAGCTGTGTGTAAGCAAATCTCAATGAACTGAAGCAACGTTATAAAAAAGAATATGAGAGACTAATAAAGTGATGTAGACAATGATTACTTGAAGTTATTGTTGTTAAAGATGGTTCTACAAGGTACTGAATCACGGCATGTACTTAGTTTTTTACTCACTGTTTCTGCATTTTGCTCCATTTCTTGTTAAATAAATAATGACACGGTAAAATGAACGGGATTTTGAACTACATAACTGAAATTGAATTGATCTGAATTAACTGAACAAATTGTGAAGAATTAGCCAATAATATTTAATATTGAGTGTTTATTTTAAGAAAGTCATATTTAACTGGGTTTTATTTTTCAGGAAATTGGAGCGTATGCTGTAGTTACTTCAGTGTTGACCTAATATGTTATTTTTTTAGTTTTTGTTGTCGTGTATTACAATTGTGTGTATTCCTATTCATCAAAAGTCCCACGCAATAGGTGTTTGGACAAACCTTAAGCTTCTGAGAAGCAGCCAATCAAAAGAAAGCTGGCTTAAAAGAGGGATGGCCTTCAAGGGAAGCTCATCGAGTCTGTGTGTTGAGTCCTTGGTGGGCCTCAAGGCTATCTGCTGCCTAATAGCTCCTGTTTTTGTACTGACAGATGTAAATGAGTGCTGGCGCTATTCTGGCAGGCTCTGCGCCCAGAAGTGTGAAAACACCCCAGGCTCCTACCACTGCTCATGCACAGCTGGCTTCTCCCTCGCATTCGACGGCAAGAACTGCGAAGGTAAGCTAGACAGTTTGTTCCTCTGACATATTGAAAATTTAAATGCCACCTTGTTTAGACAGACAGTCTTATTTTTCATGAAGAACTTAAATCACAGAGGCGAGCCTCCGGGCACAACATCAGCATCAAAAGGCAAAAGTAGTCTTTGCACAGACTTTGGAGATTAAGTATATTGATGAGAAACTGTTTATGTCTCCTTTGTAAGTCACTGTTATCAATAAAGGCTATTTTCCATTGGCATTTAATTTAGTCTCCATCTCTGGGATAAGAGTAATAATAATAGTTTCCTGGTTCAGGTGCTGTCAGTCGTCAGCATGCTGGAGATGTGACTGTGCTTCAGAGAGCAAAGCCGGTCATGATTCACGTTATGTCCAGCTTGTCACAGACGTGACTGAAGGAACTTAATCCAGATGTAAATGTTTCTGTTCCGAAGGTGAAGCTTAGCGTTCATCGAGGTTTATAGATAAACGCTTGCCTGAAGGATATCATTGGGTTTTGATTATCGCTTTTAAGATCGATTTTTTTCAAGTTACTTGTCTTGAACAAAGTGTCTTGGATAAATGACTAGAGCAGCAAAGGTGTTTGGGGAGGCAGCAACATTACAACATATACATACAAATATTTGTTTTTTCTATCTAACTCCTAACATACAGCTTGCATAAATATTTACACGTTTATGTCCAATTTTATGATTGTATTTTTTTGTTTCTGTGCTCAGATACAAATGAGTGTGACCAAAACCCTTGTAGCCAGGAGTGTGCCAACATCTATGGCTCATATCAATGCTATTGTCGCCCAGGCTACTACCTGAAAGATGATGGGCACACCTGTGAAGGTATTTTCTTCCAAGGTTGCCAGTGTGGTAGAAACACTTCAGAGAGATCGATGGAGACCTCAGTCCAGCATACTGCTCTATTCCTACAGTTTATGTGATTTACACTCAACACATTTAAACACATCTAATTAGATACATGTGTGAAATTTAACAAATAGTTGCCCACAAACACTTGTGATTTACTCAGAGTTGTGAACCTCAGCTGCATTTACTGAAGTGTTTCTATTATCCAAAACCATACACAGACTGCACTTACATATATAATACACTATAGCTGCATTATAGTGGTTTACACAGTTGCTGGTTCAACTCCTGCTGAAGACACACGTCCTTTTTGGGGTTGTGTCAGGAAAGCCAACAACAGAAAAACATGCTTCAAATGATGAATACATAGAACACCTTTAAAATTAGACTGTCGTTCTCTTGCTGTTAGTTTCACAGTAGAGAAATCGGATGAGTGATGTATGAAATCAGACAGGACAATCAATACCAAAATAACCTACCCAGGAACGGTTTTCTATAAAACAGAGGTAAATGTGTTGGTATAAATTTCCCATAAAAGGGGCTGATGTTCCAGCTGCAGAGAACTTCTCCTGATGCCAAGTTGTAGTTGATGTTCCACATAAGATACACACAATGCTCGAGATAAAGCTGAAAAGCCCGACTGCTTTTGAACCTTTCTTTCCTCACAGTTTAATCACAGTGACGAGATGTGCATGTGTGTGTTTTACACAGATATTGACGAGTGCTCCCAGAGCATCGGGAACCTCTGTGCCTTCCAGTGTGTTAACACTGCAGGCAGCTATCAGTGTGCCTGTCCACCTCATGGATATGTCATGGCTGCCAACGGACGCACCTGCAAAGGTGAGGCTGATATATACAGTAATCGTCTTCTTGGACCTGATGCAGGTTACATTTTTGTACTGTTTGACTGGAGCATTGAAAACCTTTCTGTCAGTGCTGTTATATGCATGTAGTAACTACATTAATAGATATAGAAAAAAGTCAAAGAAATCTTGTTAAAAATGCAGTGGGTACACTTAGTGTGACAGGCTGTTAAAGAATAGATTGAGCAAATTGCAGCATCCATCCATCCATTCTCTTCTACTTACCCACAGTGCGAGAGGCGGGGTACACCCTGGACAGGTCACCTGTCTGTCGCAGGGCTAACACATAGAGATTGCCAACCATTCACATTCACACCTATGAGTTTCCAATCAACCTAACCCCACTAACTGCATGTCTTTGGACTGTGGGAGGAAGCTGGAGTACCTGAAGAGAACCCACGCAAACATGGGGAGAACGTGCAAGCTCCAGAAAAGCCCGGCTAGTTGGTGAAATCAAACTCTTCTCAGTGCTAACCACCGCGCCACCGTGCTGCTCTACGCAAACAGCAGCACACTAAATCTGAATCTGGGAGAGAACATTTACTGCTCTACCTATGCATACCTATGGGTTTAATGAGTTTCTCCCTTTTCTACCCAATTTTCACTTAACTTATTAATCCTTAAATTCAAACTGCACTACTGTATAACTTTTGCTCATGTTGTATAGCCCTTATTAACTGATATTGTTTGACAAGTGTAACAGTGGTTCAATTTGGTGCTAGAGATTTATGGAAATTTCCTTTCTTGCCAAGTTAATGGATTTTTTGTTACTCTTGTGGAATTTTGACAGCAAACCTAACTCAAAGTTTTCCCACTTTATGATTACATACACAGTGCCAAGAGGATGCAAATACAGGCATCCCTGTATTTGCATCCCAATCATCATCAATGACAGATGACAACAATGTTTTATGTCATAAACATGTTTAGTCTCTGCTTAGATCAGATGCATTTCTCACTGCATTGTTTTCATTGTGTAGAACAACCAAATCTATTCTATGATTGGTTTTAGTCATTGTAGTCTAAACACCGTATGCTCAACATCACCATGCTGCAACTGGCTGAAGTCGACTGAGGTTGAGCTGTTGATGCAGATTTGCAACTGTGATCATTTTTGGTGGTAATGGGACTGGACAGGGTGCTCCAGCCTGCACTGGTACCAACACCCAGCCATGCGGCTGTTCCAGTAGGACACCCACACAGTTTCAGAGTAGTGCAGGTCATTCTGAATAATGAGTGTATCCAGACACGTTGCATTTAGACTGTGTCTGTCTCCTATTCTTGGAGTTGATCATCAGTTGCATCATTCAGATTGGGTCACAAAAGTCTATCATATCAAAATGATGATATTTATTAGATTTATTGTTGGCTCTTTTTCCAGATATTGATGAGTGCACAACTGGCACCCACAACTGCTCCACTGGGCAGACCTGCTACAACCTTCAGGGAGGCTTCAGGTGTCTCTCCTTTGATTGCCCTCAACACTACAAGAAAGTGTCAAACACGTGAGTCAGATTTATATTTTCTCCCCTGCTAAAGTTTTACGCTTTTGGCTCAGAGTCAGGTTTTTACTACATCAAAGTATGCCGAGGTTAAGGCTCATTAGAACATCAGGGTATTATAAGTTTCCATATTTGAGTTGTCTTTGTAAACAGGTCCAATAAAATTTGTTTTTGCAGTCTCCAGCTGCATTGGCCTATATCTGTGTATACGGTTTCTGTCCAGATCCTCTCAGGCTGTGAAACATTATACATCGATGTGCGTACAGCGCAGTGTTCTGCACAGAAGGGCCTTGTTAGCTGTGAGCTTGTTTAACTGAACATGATTCACATCCGCTGTGTGAAGAAGTCAGATGGCTTTGATCAGCTCGGTGCTTCCCAGAGCCGTCTCTGCAGCTCTCCCTGCTCTACGCTCCACTGAACAGCAACACCACACACACACACTCACACACACACACACTCACTCCCCTGTCAGCCCACAAGAGACGTCTTATCAGTGTTACCTAGAGACACCTTATTACCCTCAGTGTGACATCTCTTGGCTCCCCATGGAGAGACATCTTTCATTCATGAGCAGACTTGGCAGTCACGGACAGACAGCTGAGATTAAAATGTGTCTTGGTCTTCCCGTATTAGGTTCCTAGGCACTCTTGTCTTGATGTGAGTTGTGCAAATATTACGGTGCACTACAACGATAACTCCAGGCTGTAAATCCTGATGTGTGATGGATAAACAGTCACGGAGCTTCAGATTGCACTGTGGGAAAGACCCACAAAGGCTTCTGATTTCCACTGGCATCCACAGTCTTCATCTATGTTATTATGGAATCCTTGCAGCAGGGGGCAGTGATGTGAAAGAGCAGTGCTGCTACATGCTACCTCTTTTCAATAGCACTCCAGTAGCAATGGAAAAATCACATGTGCTTTAAGAAGCAAATGATTTTGCATCACGCTGCAGCTTGGTTCAAAATGTTCAGGGAGTGTAGAGAGGGGAAAGGCACTGCAACAAATGCAGAAGAAGAAAAATGCTGCATAAACACAACGGATGTTGAAAAATAGACAAGGAAAGAAGACGAAAATGCTGCAAAAGCTCTCACAAAACACCCCACACAACAGACGTGTTTTTGAGGTGATGGAACAGCTGCAGATGTGGCAAGCTGACAGTAAACAGCTCATAGCAAACATATATCTACAGTAATATATGAATCATGTAGTTAAAGCACAGTGGGATCCCTCATATGGCTTGTGTCACTTTCCCAGGTGGTCCGTCACGTCCCCAAAAACATGGCAGTTGTCTTCTGTGACATTTGTTTTTTTTCTACTTCCATTGTTTTATTCAAATTTTGCTGTGTTTTATGTGCTTTTATAGTATTTTCATATTTGCTGGTTATTTCTTACATTGATTTTCACCTCTATGGGCCCCCACAGTCTTGAAAGCCCAGAGGCTGCTGTAGCTTACTGACATGGTCTGTGATGATTAACAAGAAACCATCAGTAGAAACGGCATCTCTTCCCTACCCGTCTTATATCCCTTTTCCACCCTTGCACAGATGATGCGTTATCTAGAATTGGTTCTATAGGATCACTTCTATTTATTCGATGCCAGTTCACAAACGTAATGTCAAGACATTTTGTGTGTTGAGTGTTCAGTGAGCAGCACAGTGTCCAAACAATGTTTTGCTTACGTCTTCTCACCATCTTCCCTGGCTCATTTTCAGACGCTGTGAGCGGATCAACTGTCCCGCCAGTTCCTTAGACTGTAAGAACTCTCCCTTGTGGATCACTTACTACCAGCTCACGTATGAGACCAACATCATCATTCCAGCTCAGATCTTCCGAATTGGCCCTAACCCAGCCTACTCTGGAGATCATATTGTCATTAGCATCAGAAAGGGGAATGAAGAGGGATACTTCAGCACACGCAAGCTGAACAGCTTCACAGGTGCCGTCTACCTGCAGAGAAAGGTCCGCGAGCCCAAAGACTTCCTGATAGACGTGGAAATGAAGCTGCTGAGGCAAGGGACGTTCACTTCATTCTTGGCCAAGATTCACGTCTTCATAACACCCAGCACTATGTAATACCAAAGAGACAGACAGAGACTAGACATTTCATATGGTGCTAAACATTTTTGGCGTTTAGATTTTTGTAATGCCTCTAAAGGTTAAAGCATGATCTAGGAATCTTGTAGAATATTGCCAAAGATTGAATTATTCCTATCATGGCAGGCTCTCTGCTATGTTTCCTTGAAAGTAATGTTTCCTGAAAAACCTTGTATTTCTACGTATGTATTTTTCAGCTTCACTCTAGCAAACATAATTTAGCTTTTATACACTCGCACTATTAGTGTCTGTTCAACTGTGTGTATAGACGTTGGCTGGTCTCGGTTATTGGTTTATTCCCTCATTACCCTTTTGGTGATGTTTCGCACCTTTGGCTGGCTTTAAGATACAACTGTAAGATTGTGTTGTTTTTTCCTCTCACTTCACTGATATGTCAGCACAGGAGCTGAGAGATTTTCACATTACAGAGAGGGAGATGCTACAACGGCCTGAAAAGCTGTCATCCGGGAGAATACGGCACACTCAAGCACCAGGATGGTGATGTGGCTGTGGTGACATCACACGATGCATAGCGGCCACTTTTCCATAGATAAGGTCCAAAACTGACAAAATGAATATATGAGAACAAATGGTCTCAGAAGTCTAGGAAGCAGTATAAATCGTTCAATTTCAATCTTTATTTGTGTAGTTTAAAAAATAATCTTTCAATAGTTTTAGATAAAAAAAAATCAAATAAAGGATATTTATTTTGGTATCGTATGCTTATTTCACTTGGTATTTTTTGTGATTTGGCATATTTCACATGTAAATGATAAATGTTAGTGACATATCCACAGAGCTGGGCAACACAAAGGGGAAATGGAGCGTTTCTCCAATTAAAAAAAGAAAGAAGAACGTTTTTCTCCCATCTCATAAAATATACTAAAAGCAAAACTACGTAAATTAATGTCATCAGGGGTTTTTTTTTTTTTCATTATTATTTTGCCCGTTTTGGACCTAATTTTTGATTTGGTCAAGCGTTTGGTGTATATTATTTATGAATATGTGATCTGATCAAATGAGTTCAAAACACACAAAAAAGTAGTGATGATGTCATTCTAGCACTGACAGTATTATTATAGGGGGGGTTACATTTTATTGTTTCATGTTATACTCTTTAGTTTGTAACCAGATGCATCTTTTTTATTTGACTGTGTAATTATCTCAGGGTAAAAGCCACATTCTCTTTTACACACTAGACAATTTCCTGTGTGGTGTGCAGGACTGACTCAGCCTGCTGCGTTAACTGCAGGCTGGCCTCACACAGCATGTACGTTTGTATCTGTAAACTGACTGACGATCAAACCGTTGTCAATAAAAGGTCACAGTGTCAGAGTGCGTTTGTCCACGTCAGTAACACCGTCACACGCTGGGCCGCTGGTTCCTCAGTCAACAGTGAACCCACATCCCCATCTACTGGTGTCAGAAGGTCCCACTATTAATACACTTATAAAGTAATTTAGATATTATGAAGAAAAACAGCTGTGCCGCACACATTAGGCACTTCTTATCTGAAATGTTTTTATCACCTCTTCCGCTGCTCCACAAGGAACATCGTCGTCTGTGTTCCACCCTGTGGTATTCCCACCCGGAAAGTGTGCGCTCCAGCCTATTAATACATTCCAATAGATGACAGTTCAACTGGAAACTAGAGGGTGGGGTCACTGTAAAAATCAAACACCACAGTTTGGCTGATAGGAGGTTTTACTGAATAATAACACTGATATTTTAAGACTGCAGTTACTGGGTGTGAAATCACCCAACATAAAATGTCAGAAGAGCTTTTTACCGAATCCTAGAATAAATTATTCTAAAGGATGATGCCGATCTTTTTTTAACATAATTCAATAAATAAAAATAAAAACTAAACACAGTATATACATGTGTTGTATTTGCAGAAGGTACTGCAAATTCTACTCAAACATAAAAACCTGATCTCTGATTTCTGAGTGTTTGTTTGCTTGTGTTGAATTTTGTCGGTACTATGCAGTAAGAATTCATAGGCTGTGAAAACAAAATGAAGAGGCCCAACATTTCCTCTGAATCCAACTGAAAGTGACTTTATTTTCTATGAGGTCTTTTTAGTCTGACTTACTCTAAAACAACAAAAGGAGCGTTTAGATTTTCTTGGTACTTGAAATACTCTCGATGTGTCTATTATGTTTCTGAGCTCAAGTTAACACGTTTCATAGCAAAGATTCACAGAAATAAAGAGTCACTTCGAATAGTGTATATCAATACACAACAAACCAACTCTTCTTACCTGCTTCCTTTGACATATGCCGTCTTTGTTGCAGTAATGAAGACTGGAGCACCCAGCAGCCCACACAGACGTTTCTCTGTAGCCTCAACACAGTACAGGCTGAAAGCTTTATAAAATATTACAGTCTCGTCAATATTATAGCACATTTAGTGCATTTTATTGGTAACTGTATTCCTACTCCTGCTATTCTGTTGGTCAGCACGTCCTCTGCTGTGCTCTCAGCTGTAAGTTTCTGTGGTTAATGCCTGCTTGTCTGTTATTCTTTTACAAATTTCAAAATGAATACACAAACAAAAATAATGTAGAAGCAGAATTTAGATTAAACCTCCCTGAATATACCCTCCCAAATGAAAGCCTTTAATAGGCCTACGAGCACAGTGAAGAATCAGTGCATCCCTGTGGTTTGTGCGACTAGATGATAGAAAGCTTGTTTAGGAAACTGCTCAGCCAGTAGAGCAGTGATACTGGTGTGCCATGGGTGGCCTCTTTCCTCTCTGCTGAAGCCCGAACACATCCGGCTATTGAGGCGTCGTCCCACACATGTGGGGGTGTGACTTCTGATTATCTGTCTCAACTTCAAAGGGTTATCAAGACAGCTAAAAATATGTGGCCAGGACCCACCTTCTTACTGCAACATGGGAACAACCAGATCTCCACACATGAAGTTGCGTTTGTGCTGGATGAGTCAACCAAAGTACTTTCACCCATGAGGCTGTGGTTTGTGTGACGTGTGAAACCAAAGGAAAATATCATTTGTAATTGTAGTTTTTCATCGCACTATGGTTTCAATTAGATAAACGTTATAGTTTCCATTAAAACAGACTTTCACAGTGTTAACTGTGCATTAAAAAGCCTTTATGACCTGTGGTTGTGGTAAATCTCTGGAGGCCACTTGCTATCTTTTTCCAGGAGCTGCAGAGCTGTGACATCACAAAAACAGCTTGGTCATTTCAGCGATGGTATATGGGCCTGACTGGTTACGATGCTGGAACATCAGGTCCTTCCAGTGGGATCAGACACAAAGCTGTTAGCAGCAGTTTCTATTTAACGGAGGTTCCCATTAAATCGAGGAAGTGAGCTGGAGATCAAACTTATTTCCAGTCATGGTTTGTAACACTAGCCAGTAGGTACTCACCGATCCTTAACGGAGGTAACTCAGCTATTTGGTCCCAGCTTTGATCTCGTCAAAGGGTTAGGAGCTAAATTTCTTCAAAGTGAGCCACAACACAGCAAAAAAGGCTGTTTGTTCAGTATTCAACTGTGTCTACTGGATTTATGTTTAGATGTGTTTGCTGCCTTTTCTGTGACTTCTCCATTCGGCTGCAGCTTTTAAATATTATTCTGTTACATTACTGTATAAAAAGATGAGGTTTCTGTATTTCCAGAAAGCACACTTCCTCTGCTTCATCCTCTTTACATCTCAATGAAAGATCAAAGTCAGTGAGCTGGCCTATCACTGGTCAGCTTCTGAAACACTCTCTGATGTGCTTTTTTTCATCTTTTAGTGATGTGCTGCTCTACAGGTGGTTTCAATAAAAGTGAACATTGATATTCCAATATAAAGTCCTCTTTATTGAAATTAGGCAAATAAACTTCTATATTTTCTATAAATATATAAAAAATATTTATTTAAAAATAAATCAAACAAAAAGTGGCAGAGCATCACTCTACACCTCTGGCTCCAACACTTCAGCCAGGTGGAGCTCCAGTGGTGTGGAGGATCTTTACTTACTTACTAATACCACCTATATGAATATTGTTGCGGACCATGCAGTGTTTCGAGTGAGTGTATAATCTATATAAGTGTTTAATAGTAATTTTTATTTAATAAAATGTGCATCTTAACATGTTAATTAAAGCACAGATTGAAGCTGTCTCGTTGCTAATGCTTCCTCCTCTGTCTGTTTTTGTCCTGACCATTTATTAGTTTAAACTACAGTGTTTTTAATTTTTGTATGTGTACATTTGTGACATTTATTTTTGGTTATGTTTGCCTCTTAACCTATAAATCCTATATTTCACCTTGTTAACCAAATTTGATGTGCCGTTACGGTCTCTCCAAAATGTTAGAATGACATTTCTTTATATTTTCTTTCATGTGAATTTTGGAGCGCTCTGAAGCTTAGAAAACTGTGTAGTGAGCTGTAGGTGGACAACAGAGGGCAGCAGACTGCATCAATCTGTCAGCATGCAGCTGAAAGAATGTTTACTTGCACAATATGCTTGCGTAACTTGTCTGTGCATCAGCACATCAAATGCATACCTACATTTTCCATTCCAGCACATGTTAGCACAAACACATTCCCATTCTTCTCACAGGGGCTTCCTCACTGCACAACCACGCCAGTGATTCCATTTAACTGCTGTGCTCAGACCTACTCCCAGTCATCATGTGAGCTATCAGTGGGCAGTTATCATGTGTGAAATCTTGAGTAAGCTTTTCCATAGATAGATGTGATGCATTTCTTCCAAAGCAGAGAACTCCATCTATGAACACCAGGCCAGGCTTCCTTGAGGGAACCAGTTAAATGATGCCTTTGATTGGCTGATTATACACCATTTATCTTCTTTAGCTAATCATAGAGAAAATAATGTTCTCTTTATCGCACTGTGCCAGTGTGTGTGAGGCCTGTGTGTGCCTCATAAAACCCACTGAGAAATCAATAAGATCCTCCTTTTGTTTACCACGTGCCCTACCTCGCCTGCATATCCACAATTAGTCACTTATCAGAGCCTTCTTGACTTTAATGTGTTTTGGAATATTTCTTGCGACAGGCTGCATCGCATTTGGTCGTAAATGCAATAATGAAGATATGGTGTTTCAAGGGTTAGAGTATTTTTCTTGGAAAGGCTCCTTATAGAAAATTCCACATCACTTTTACCACAATTGCTCCCATGGCTCTCCTTAATTGTATGGTAAATGTGGAAAGGTACACAAATTAGAAATAAAATTGGATGAAAAAAAATAGCAGGAAAGATAAAATAAAACAAACACCAGTGTGCATGATGTGCAGCATTCAGCGGTGGTATTCAGTACTTTTTCTTTTTGTTTTTAAATACGCATTAAGTCTGAAGTAAAAACCGAACTGAAAAAGGAAAATTTAACTAAGACTGAGTGACTCTCAACAGAAACTGACACATTTTTGGATCAACTGATACTGAAGAGAAGCATTATATTGAGAAGCATTGTTGACGTTCTTTAAAATTTACCTCTGGTCATACTGTCAATTTCATGCTGCCACATAAATAACAGGTCTATAAGATAAGATAAGATAAACCTTTATTAGGCATAATTGTTTTGGTCACGGCAGAAAGTGCAAGTTAAGAGCAGTAAAATTAAGAAAAACACAATAGAAAAGGATAAGATAAAGTAGAATAACATACTGTACAAAATAGAATAAAATGCTTCGTCATAGTAGGAAATATTGCACTTGGTACTAAGCAGAAGGCCAAATTAGGAAGTTCTAGATGTTTAAATGAGATGAGACCAAGTTCTTGATAAATCCTTTACTAAGAGCACTAAAGGGCTACAACCCCTTTGCTAATTTCTACAAGTAGCTCCTTCCACCCAATTGTTAAACATGATTACAGCAAATGTCCTCAACACAATACACTGCAGTATTTAATATAACAGCAGGAAAAGACAACGTCAGGTGGATGTTGGGGCGAATCTGTGGGTCAGGAAAACTCTGCATTGTTTTCCATTAAACACGCCCTCGGCATATCGCATATAAGAACTTGATAGTTTCCATATTTACTGACAATTTAATGGCAATAAATTTATAATTTTTTAATATATTCAGTCAAAAACATTACCTGTGTATTAAGTCTCCATCAGAAAGCAGTTTTTTGGTCCTCATTGAATTACCCATAATGTTGTGTTGATCTGAAATCACCGACTTTTTGTGGTGGAGGGGTTTGTACAGGGTTTGTGCACCCACACAAGCCCAGCAGCTATGTTGAACCTATGTTGGAACCGGAACCGGTGAAGGAAAGCACCTAGTTTAGAGGTTGGTTGGGCACAGCCTGAAAGCAATATATGGTCCCAGTCTCCAGTAAGCACC